TTCAGGAAATTGTTTTTAAAATTAAATTTGCAAGGGGATGATTCTCAGTTTTAATAAGTTTTGCGATATTTACATCAGGTGAGAATTGCTTCATAATTTCCGAATAAGGCTGTTTATCATAGAATGGTTTGGATTGGAAGGGACCTCAAAGATCATCTAGTTCCAACCGCCCTGCCATGGGCAGGGAAACCCTTCACTACACCAGGTTGCCCAAAGCCTCATCCAACCTGGCCTTGAACACTTCCAGGTATGGGGCATCCACAACTTCTCTGGGCAACCTGTTCCAGTGCCTCACCACCCTCAGGGTGAAGAATTTCTTCCTTAGGTCTAATTTAAATCTCCCCTCTTTCAGTTTAAAACCGTTGCCCCTTGTCTTATCACTACATGCCCTTGTAAAAAGTCCCTCTCCTGCTTTTTCATAGGCCTCCTTTAAGTTCTAGAAGGCTGCTAGAAGGGCTCCCCAGAGCCTTTTCTTGTCCAGGCTGAATTTGTTGGGATGCATCACTCCTGAGCTTGGAGGAGGTGATCCTTGACTATTAACCAGCTTATATACCAGATAGTTATGTGTAGTCATTGAATCCTAGTCTGTAATGCCATTTAGCATTCACCCTAGCTTGCAATTTAGTTTTCTTGATACTGGAAAGGCAAAAAATTGTGAATAATGGCTTTGGTTACATTTTTTTTCTTTCATTCAGGACTTAGAAATGAGTGGAGTAAGGAACTGAAAATATTACTGTACTTCTAATTGGCAGAAATGCTAAGTTAATTGTTATTTTTTCACCTTTAAATAGTCTTTCTCTGAAAAGACAGAGAAGTAGGATTTTTAATGTAGAATTTTACAGCGTCATGTGTAAAAATTTTGTAAGATTTTCCTAGTATCTAATTCAGGAATAGTCTTAAATAGTATCCTACATGATTTATTTGGGATGGAAATTTTCTCAATAGTGGTACTTGTGTTATATTAATGTGGCTTTCTGTACCAATGGGTTCTTTGAATTTCAGATGGAAATGGTTACTGCATCATTTTGCTTTCTCCATACTGTCTCCATTTTGCAACTCCTATATTCCACAGTAAAACCTTAAAAGCAGTTTTTCTGAGGTAATGTACAAATATCAAATGAACAGTTCTGAAAATTTTCTTGTTGCAAGTAGGGTTACTTCCTGACTTCACTGAAAGTATAATTGATTTTTGTAGTTCTGTGCCACTACACTTACCTGGCACAGTCCCTTATTTTGGGAACTGGATTTTTTGTAGCCTTTCTATACAAAACAATGGCAGAAAAGCTTAGCCCCTTCACCTTCCAAATGATCAGAATTTTATTTCCCTGAAAGAGCTCAGAACATGATAGGTAAGACATCAGAAATTATTGGTTGAATGATAGTTCACCCTAGACTGAAATTTTTTTCCAGGCACAATAAAGCTTATCTGCAGCAGTGCCTGTTAAGACTTCTCCCCTAGGTAAGTCATTTGAAAATTTAATTGTTACTGACATCCAGAGAAGACAGATACATTTCTGAACATTAAGCAGCCTCGCTGATTTATGAGCAACAAACTGACATAAGTAAGTCAGTGATTTCGTCTTGACTTGCTTATCAACGCACCAAGCATGACGCTTCACTGTTATCAAAATGGGATTGCTCTGTGGAGAAGTTGAAAGAAAGCAGCAAGAATGGTTGAATCTGGCTGTTTCGCATGCAGAACATCGCTTCCAGCTGTGGAATTCAGAGATTACTCTTTGCCTTGAGAAGAATAGCTATCTGGTCAGGGTAGTATTTGATATCTAGCAGCTGGGCAATGTGCTTTCCTCTAGGTCTCACTCTTCCAGTTGCTCAGATAGCTGGCTTCTGTGATCTGCTACCTTTTTGCAACTTAATTTGTTAAATTCTGTTAAAGTCTGAAGAAAATTAGTTACTTTTGAAATTACAGCTTAATTTCATTGGAGTAAACTACAATGCACACACAATTTATAATCAGCCTCTCTTCTTGGTGAGAAATTGCTATGAAATGCCCCCTATTTGAAAGTAGTCACAGAAGGGTAATGTTCACAATGTTACACAGTGCAAGCATCACTGATAACCTAAAAATAGCGTGATTTTGTGGTATCCTATCTCATGCCTCTGTCAAGGGATGTGAGATGCTTTTTAAAAGTGTGACTGGTTTGTTGAATGAGAATGAATGTATTATTATGGGGGCAGCGAAAAGGGTTTGAAGCGAACTCTGCCACATGTATGCACTTAAAAATGTGCTTATTAGTGAATCACATTCTTAAGTGTCAATTTAAAAATAATAATAATTACAGGAATGAAATATCTATCTCTCTACCCTACATCCTACGCTGGGGAGTTTCCCAGCCTCCCAGTGGTACCTAGCTGACAGCTGTTTTAAGAAGCAGCTATTATCGTATCTGCACATACCATAGCTGTCACCATAAGTAGGTCTAAGAATTTTGTTTTTCATCAAGAAAAGTCAGGCTTACGGTACAGATTCTACCAAATGTTACATGTAAATAAAATGTCAACAAATAAAAATATAGAGATGTGACACAAACCCTAGAATTTACTAAAGCATTTGAAGAGTATCAAATGGCATCAAATTCAGGTATCTCCACTAGGGCTTCTGTTAAAGAATAAACTAACGTGCTTTTAAATGATGTAGATGTTCTTTTATACAGTAAAATGTCTTATTATGTAAAATGTATTTTCTTGCTTGATTATTGTGTTTAGTGAATGTCTACATACATTTCTCTTCAGCTTACTCATAACCCATGAATGTCTGGCTGGGTTAATGACAGCATTCATTAGTGAGGTGAGGTTCACATCTCTTCAGGGAATCGGTTCCTATGTATATATTAGAACAGCTCTTTGATTTTGTGTTAAGCACAGTATAAGAAATGTAATTAAGAGAATGTTGTCTTAAGTGCAGACTAGTCCTTTTACATAGATAGGTGCAGTAAAAGAAATGGGAAATTGGGCTTTCATTATCACCTTATTTGAAAAAAGAGAATAGTGAGAAATAAATAAATACATATTATAAGTATTAGATATTATTTATTCATGTTTTATATATTTTTATTACATTTTTTATATTATATATTATTTAATTTAGAGCTCTCCAGCTGGTTTATTACATCCTTCGTAGTACTTTTTCCCAGTGAAAACTTATTCTATTTCTAATATATTAAAAATATATGCCACCTGTTTTTTTAACATACATATGAAAACTATATTCTTTTTTTTCCCCACTGCTTTCCATGTAAATCCCAGTTTCTTAAATTTGTGTTGGCTTACAAGGAATTTTATCTGGTTTTATTTTGAAACTTATGATTCTGTTTATGCCTGGCTGGTATATTGAAGGGTGCTAATGCCACTTTGTCAGTTGTTACAGATTTTCTCCTTGAGACCTTCTGTTACAAATTTTTTTTTTTAATTATCTGTATGTGCCAGCCATGGATCTTAGTCATTCCTTCCCAAACTTTTTGTCTTGTTCTAAGAACTGAGATTTTAAGTTGAGTTTGTAAGAGTGGTCTTTTATCTGAAATTTTCAGTGAAGGAAAGGATTTTTCTTTGCTTTTGAAGTAGTTCTGTAACTACGGTGGTATTTATGCTATTGACTTGTGTGGAAATAGTCGAGATGTCATGATGTAAGGAAGCATACAAACTAACTGTTGGCTTTAATTTAGTAGAGAGATTGTACACAACAGTGCCTGGCTACTCTTTTTCGAAAGTAAAATGTTACAGCACATCTCTCTTCTCTCTTAGCATGACTTTGGATTGTATTGTGTAGTGCAGTTATATGCAAAAAACATAGAAGAAACACTTCTAAGAGTTGCATCTCAGTTGTGTGTAAATTAAAATAGTTCTTCCAAATCTGCTCAAATTTCACTGGTTAGTACTTACTGTCCTCGGTCATATTAGTCTTTCCAAGGAACTGGGTCAGGCTGTCATACCAAATAAAGAATACAACAGAGGAGAAGTTTGGCATCTCAGTAGACATTTATTTCTGCGATGTGTAGGTTCTAAAACTTTCATTCCTTGGCCCTGGGACAAAGTTCCATCTGCTGGAGTTACTGTTGCGTGAGAACAAGAGGTCCTTTGGGCTGCCTCACGTTCCTTGTTTGGATGATGCAGTGGTTGGAGCAGGTGCTTTCTAAGGGTGATTTTTGTGACACCTCTCTGAATTTACCGGTATTAAAATTTGGGGGTTTGAACACTTCTTAATCCAAAATTTTGCTCAGTTTGTTGTTACTTGTGAAAGCCACATGTGAGAAGCTGCTACCAACATCGGTTTGATTATCTGCAATTTTTATTGCCCATCTGATCTGCATTACAGAGCTTGTAACTGCATATATTATATATACATTAAAATATGTAGGTGAATAGGGAAGTATTTTTATGTTTTGACAATGAGAATAAAATCAGAGAATAATTTGCCTGACCAGCTTCTTTGTAGTATGTAATGGAAAAAATTTACAAAACTGGAAAGTCTTTCACTCTGTTTTCTCTATGAATATCCATCCGCTTTGGCATCCTTTTATGTTAACAGGCTTTTCCCAAAGCAGAGGGTACAGAAATACAATGCATAGTTTGTTACAGGATTTGGGCTGGAAATCTGTAGAAGCCATTGCGAATCTTCAGCTAATGCAGGAGGTGAATGGCCACTTTGTCTTTCCTGCAGTTACAAGATGAGATGCTTGATAGTAACTGCTACATGTGATGGGAACCGTTCTCAGTACAGTCTGTAAGCACATATACTTTGAGGGCATACCATATACTATCATTTTTTCCTGCAGATCTCTTTAAAATACAGGGTGAAATGGCAATATTCCTGCATGTTTTGCTTGTATTCCTGCTTTTGGAGCAGAAGTTAACTGAATAATACTACCAAAGCAGTGCTGCCATTATTGCTGTGATTATTTCCACTTAAACTGATTTTTAAAAGCAGTTGCATCCATTTTAATTCTGTTTTAAAGAACACAATTAATTTCATGTGGGGGCGAAGCATGAGGCTAAGCACTTGCCAGTTTTGGAAGAGGCTGCATCAGTGGGGACCAGTAAAAAAGGCTGCTACCAAGTGGGGGAAGTTGCTGATTGTAACTTGTAAATTTAGACTTGGAGAATCTTGAGGTTAATTTTTGCACTAGTCTTATCCTGTGGTAGTAAAGAGGTGTCTGAATCAGTCTGTGAGTTTGTTACTTTTAGGCACTGATTGTCCTTATCAGGCCTGCCTCCGGCTGTGCCTTTGCACACTGCCTGTACAATGGCTGTTGGTTCATCTGCAGAGTGTTTTTGACTCCAGAATGATACAAATAGCAGCAGAAACATGCAGGAAGAGATCTGGTAACTTGAGGAAATGCTCTTGAAAAACTTGGCCATTGCAGCAAAGAATGGTGTAGCACGTACTGCTCCCATCTCGAGATACAGTTTTCCAGTTTAGATATAGAATGGGAGGCAGTGAGTATTTTGTGGGACTTCGTGAATATAGAGGGCTATGCTAGCATGCCTTTTTTTTTTTTTTCCCCAGACAAAGCCATTACTGTTAGCTGTATTTTTTCAGCAGAGCTATTACAAGGTTTTTTGGTCTGTAGGGTGAGTCACAAGCTTCATGTATATGAATATACTGTCAAGATTGCTTTCAATGGCTAAGAGTGTTCCCTTATATCTGGCAAAATGATTTGCCTTTTTTTCCCCTCAAAAATTAGATTTTTCTGTTTTGTAAGACTAGTTATAAATGTTTAATTAAGACTTGAACCTGTTTCAGTTTTTCTCTAATTTATAAAGTAATTGGTAAATCAAATGCATTTATTGCTAGGAATTCAAATCCTCACTTTTTCTTCCAATAGAAGGGAATTTGTAGATACACTACAGTCATTATTGTACTGTATTTCAGGACACTAAAAAGGCAATTTTAGCATCATTAACATTTTGAAATTCTTCATTGTATCCTTTTTCAGGACAGCAGCAGCACTGTTATCTTAGTGCTATGTAGCAATGTTCAACTTAATTTCTTTTAACTTTTTAAGACCACATCTGGGGAAGACGTACGGGACTTCACAAAGGTGCTGAAGAATAAGTTCCGGTCAAAGAAGTATTTTGCAAAGCATCCCCGACTTGGCTACCTACCTGTGCAAACAGTATTGGAGGGTGACAACCTGGAGACGTAAGTTTGATTACGGAGTAATTGCTCCTGGCGTCACTGGCCTGTTCCATCAAAAACAAAAAAGTGAAACCCAAGAAATAAGCAACAGACTTGTGCTGTATTATTTTATATGAATTGTTTCTCGCCATTTGCAGATCTTGCCTGTTTTTGAAAAGTAACATATTTTATACTTTGGTTTTTGTAAGCATTTTATCATAAAACGATGGACTTTAGCAGGTGATGTTGGAGGAAGCTGAATGACTGTTTTACAGAGAACACTTTTATAGCTTTGGGGAGACCGGGGTTTTGGAACTGCACTGCTTATTCAGTTATCTCAGAGTTGCTGGAGATAGAAATCTCTGAGCTAATTAGGTTCCTACAGGCTTCACAAATATAAGTGGCCTAATAAAAGAGCTCTCTCAGTGTCTCCACAGTATTACTTGTGGTGCTGGCAGAAATACTCCACTTTATTTACTCACTTGGTAGTTGTCAGCAAAGGACTCTCTTAAAAGAGCAAAATTAAGATGTGTTGACAGGGCGCTAGAAGTAGTTTCATGGATTGACTCTCCTCGACATCCTGGCACCCACAGCACCAGTGTACTGCCTGAACACAGCACCGCTTTAGCCAGCAACAGCCAATGTCACCCTTCAATATATACGCCCTGCTTGCATGCCACAGCCCAGTGCCATTGTCCACGCTCTGTTTTCCTGACCGGAGGACTGTGTGCTTTGTTTAAAATAAACAAACAAAACCTGCACATTAGTGGTTTAAGAAGCAGGAGGAAGTAATCTGAAAACTGGCATTATTGATGACCTTGCTTCTGAGGAAGCAGAGCACATTCAAATGTTAGAACATTATTCACCGGAGCAGTCTTCAGCTGCCATCAAGACAGGAAGGCAAAGTTGCTTTGTCTTGTTTCATGTGATGAAAGTTTGCCAATGGTGCCAGAAACTGGAATGTCAAAACTGTAGTCACAGGTCAGAACAAAACTCCCTTGGTCCAGTCATGTGGGAAATACACAGATAAACCGCCAGCATCATGATGAGGAAACTGTTGGTACTGATTCTCTCTCCTGTAGGTGGCAAAACTCAGTAATACGTTCCTTTAAATAAAAAAAATAAAATAAAAAATCCTAAATAGTTACTCAGGTGTCAGAATGTAATACAATATGTATTTACCTCTGATTATTTTTATGCAGTAGGAAAATAAGCATTGATAACTTTTACTTTGTGATGGGTTTTTTGTTGTCAGTGGTAGTTTTTTCCTCCCTTTTTTTTTTTGCTAAATATATTTTCTACTTAGTTTAAAATTAAAGCTCTGGTACTTGAGCAGAATTTAAATGAACTGATTATGGTTTACAAACTGCAGTTCAGTCAATAACACTGATTTGGTATTTTTTTAAAAATTGATTTTTATTTAATAAAATGAAGTATGTAAGTCAGTCTCCTGTCTCGCCATGATAGCAGTATCTGTTACTGTCTCTTTTCTACATCAATCGTTACCAATTCAAATAACCTGAGTGGGTTGCTGTTTTAAAATATTTTGTGTTTCTCCAGCTTTCTCTTGCTTAAATGGCACTAAAGTTTTTGTTTCATAGTTTCTTTCTTTCTTTGTCTCTTTTTTCTTTTTTTTTTTTTGTCTTCTGTACAGTCCTATCACTCTCATCAGTATGTGGCCAGAGCAATATGAGTGAGTATGCAGAACTCCTTTTTCTGGAAAGCGTAGTATACTTATTGTTTTCTTTTAGCTCAGTTGCTGCTAATCTGGTGTGCATGAGCTATAGGGCATGGCTGACTCAAAACAATAACCCCCTTTGCAATATCGTGAATTTATTTATCGTCAGTCTAACTTACTTTAAAAATAACATCTGTATCATTAATTGCTTTAGGCACCACTAATTTTTTCATTTTTAATTTATTTTTTTTAACTAGTCCTTCCCAGTCTCCACAGCTGTTTCATGATGACACACACTCCAGGATAGAGCAGTACGCTACTAGGTAAGAGATGCACAGTTTCTCACCAGTACACTGCATTTTGTGATCGATTCCTGCAGATTTTAATGTACTCTACTGGCTGGATATTATTTATTAGAAAAATATAATTCTTTGTACTCAGAAGTAAGTCAAATGTTTTTAAATCATCAGCTTCTGAATACAGTCATATTAAATGTAAAATAGACGCACTAAATCTATCATCTGTCACACAGAATGGAAACTTGCAGAATTACCATGCTTTATTTCTAAAATGTACTGTTTTCCTTTTGTTTCTTCATTTTTAACCTTTGAAATAAACTGAACTTTTCAGATATGTAATTTTTCCCTGTAGGATTTTAGACCAGGCTTTCGTTTTCTTCTATGATAGGTTGACACTATCCATTACCATTGACTTTTAGCAGAGCATATAATAATTACAGATGTTTTATGTTCTGGCTTTTATGGGGTCACCCTAATCCTTTCCTCATAAAATGTCTGTTATGCCAGGTACATCTCAATGCCTCTGCGTTTTGTTGAACTCTCTTCTGTACATTCAGAGCTGGTGGTGGTAAAGCACTAACCAGAGGTACCCTCTTAAAAATAAGTAACACCACTCAACTTATAGGCAACAAAGAAATTGATCCATATTACCATAGGAACTGACTGGTTTTGATTTTGGTGGCTTTACTATTGTATCTGATCTCCACGACTTATGAACCATGTTAACTTTTTCAGCTTTTTGGATAAAAGTTCTGAGCTTATGTTTAAGTTAACTGAATTCTGATACATGGGCACCACAAGAAAGCTTCAAAGCAGTTTGTTAAATACCTAGGATACTCAACACATGATCCTTCCAGCAAGGGAAAAATAAGTCAGAAACTAGTGCTGACGGGCTACCTATTATCAGCCTTAGCATTTTATTTTTTTTCCAGCAATTAATATTTTCATCCTTCATTAGTAACATAGTACATTGTCAAAGGCAAAGCTGTAGTACTTTTCAATTATTTGGAACATGTCATTCATATAAATCATACAACATTCCTTTGAATCTATAACTTAGACCATGCTGTAATCAATTAAAACTCATGGAGCAAATAAATTAAAGTTCTTTAGAAAGATGCAAGGATTTTCTATCTCCCTATGTCCTTTTTTCAGCCCACAGTGCCACAATACTGTGGCTTTCTGTGCCCTGATGAAATTCAAACTCTGGACTTGCATTAAGGATCAAGGGAGATCCTAGGTGCAATACCTGTTTTCCCTCTCCTCTCCTTCAACTCTTACCAATTCTGCTCTGAATTAGACTTGTGGAAGGTGGACCGTGCACTGCTCAGGGCTCTTTCAGGATACAAAGCTAAATCTGTACCTGCTATGTACAGACATTGGTTAGCAAAATCACAAACTTAAAACTAATTACTATATAAGTAAGCTATCTAAAACTATTCAAGATGATTTTTTTCTCTAGTAATAAAATCTAAAACTTGAAGACATAATTCTCTGTCTTTCACATAATTTTTATTGTGTGCTTTATAGTTGGATCTGATATTATGCATATTTCACATATGAAGTAGCCAATATTTTTTATTGTCCTGTGATTTTCAGTTAAGCTTCTTTCAAGAAATATTATCAGGGCTTCCTTAATAAGACTGTGCCCAGCAGAAACAGTATATTAGGGCTTAAAATCGTTATTGTCACTGTTTGAAGAACATTCAACTTTGTTTTCTGTTAAGTCCCCTACCTGCACTCAGGTGCTGTCTCCCTATTCTGTTGTGCTGTGTCACCTCTGAGTTGCTTCTAATTCCCTGTCTCAACTTTCAGTTTGTATCCTGCTTTGAAGGCTCTTTGCAACTCTAGAGTCCCTTCTCTGTCTCCCCTTGCTCAAGGTTGTCTCCTGGTTCCACATGCTATTCCAAACAAATCCTCACTAAATGATGGAGATCAAAAATGTGATAATGGTAAAATCTACATTTGTGGGTTGGGATGTCTATTACTCGCTGAGATCCAGGACAAGCTCTCTTCTCTGAAAAATACTGGGGTTTGTACTACTTCCCTATATGACAAAGGGGCTGTGAAGATTAATTTCAAAAATTATCTTTCATCAGAGTCTTACAGATGCTGAGCTAAGCAGCGTTACAAAGGTGACTTGTAAGCATGTTACTCACCATGAACTAGATCTGTTTGAGATGCCCCAGAGCAGAGATGATCTGAATGTCTCTAGTCACTTAGGAACTTGTCCTTCCCTTTGAAGCAGATGTTGGAGTACAACAGCCCACCTCAGCTGCGGTGGGATGACGAAATCAAGACAACTTTATCCTGTGTGTGCTTCCGTTTGTCCTCCTTCAACTCTGAGGAATATTAACAAATGTGCAGAAGAGCAAGCTTGCTCCATGCTAAAAGACAACGGAGTTCCTATTTCTTTAGGTCCTTGCATACTGCTTTCAAAAAGAAGTTTGAATTTGTCTATAATGATTTATAATGCACTTGCAAAAATATGTGTGACATTAAGATATCTTTATAGAAAAGCAAATAGCTGTATTTGGTGCAGTCCAATATTCATGCACAGCATTGACTGTTCCTAGATTTTTATGTATGTCTTACATACATAAGGTATATCTTTCCTAGAAAACTGAATTGACAGAAAATTTCTGCGGCAATTTTAGAGCTATATGGCCTTATATATACAGTATAATAATCCAGTTCTTTTAGATAAATTCCTTCCAAAATGAGGAACCATAGACAATGACTCCCTGTAACTACACTGTTTTTTGTGTTGTTTTCCAGGACTTGTCTGTCCATAGCGAGATGCTATTTGCCAAGCATAGTTTCAGATGTTGCATGTGCTACATTTAAAAAGTATTTATCCTCTTTTGTTAGTCCAGCTTTATAAAATTCAAAAAGAAAACCATCTGCAAAAACATCTCTTTAACTAATTTTACTGTGAGAGTTGTGGTGGTGCTAATGATAATTATACTCGAGATAGAAAGTATACTTGTTCTTTGTTGTGTTGCAAGTGGAATTGGTTAATCATAGCACGACTTTCTCGTAAAAGTCCTCTGGATTATAGGTTTTTATCACAATATCTAGGACTTTATTCCTATTCATGTATACTAAGATTGCCATATCTGAGCTGTTTCTAAGTAGAGTTGAGTTTCACAGTGCCTCTGTTTAAATTGCGCAACGAGATCTCTGAAAGTCGTGGTCTTTCCCTGCCTTTCAGGCTTGCACAGATGGAAAGGACCAATGGCTCCTTCCTCACGGATAGTAGCTCCACCACAGGAAGCGTGTAAGTAACTCATTAAGACTGCCAGGAACTTTGGTTATAGCTGCATAGTACAATCTTTGTAAGTTGTAACACAGGTTTTAGTCCCAGTGAAAGTAGCTAATAAGTGTGAAGCCAAGGATGCCTGCATAAATTTCACTGTTCCAAGCACCATTTGCAGAAATTGGTGATGTTGATTTGATGATGTAAGGGAAGTCTGTGTTTGTCAGCCATTCTGCTTCAAAAGTGAGGATATTTCATACAACTGGAAAAAAGTCGCAACTCTATAGGTTCTAGTTTGTATTCCTTTTCTGCTTTTATCATAGTATAAAAGAAAAGAAATCTTTCTAGGACAAAGTGGACAATGGAGTGGGTCAATATCTTGTGCTAACTCCCAGAACAATTTTCTCATTGAAAAAAAAAAAAAAAATCTATGTTGGTGGTTATGCAGAGACAGAACAGTGTTTCTGCTGCTTTCTTAGATTTCAGTTCACCAGCTGCTGATCCATCTGTTTGTACTTGGGGATATAAACATAGTCCCACATTAATTTTATCAATGCCATTTTCTTTTTTGAATGACGTGTCAGTTTTATTGTAAAAGCCTTTATGAAAATATATTGATGAACCTGGAAAGCACAGAACCCTTTGAATTCCTGATGAATTAAATAGTTCTTTTTAATGTAAAAGTACATAATGTTTTAACCTCAGTGCATCATCAGTTCTATTAATTAAATCAGTGAATCTGCCTCTTTTAAGTTATTAATGAATGTCATCAGCTTTTTTAAAGAGGAAACAGAAATTGTTCTTGTTCAGCTTTAGTTAGAAAATGCTATTGTTCTCAGCAACGCTTTCACTTTAGTGTTTTAAAACTAACCATGACTTTATTCTACCTATGAATGTACTAGCAATTTGAGATGCAAAATATTTTGCTTCAGGGAAGCACTTGTGATCACCTTTAAATATTTCCTCTTTCCTGCTTAATTAACTCTATTTATGTAACTAATAAAACTTTTTCCATGTGTTTCTGTCATTGGTAGGCTCACCAATGACAGAAATGCAGCCAAACTATTCCCTTTTGATTAAAAAAAAAAGAGCAAACATACTGTCATTTGACAGGGAAAGCTGAAAACTTGAAAGCAGCTAAATGCTCGTACACTTGATTGAGTTGTTTATTTTGCAATTAATGAGTCTACTCGTATACAAAGACCAAACAACTGTCTATCCCAGTGGTAAAAAGGGATGTATATGCTTAATTTTTACTGGCAATTCAACTGTTGATTTTAATACAATTTCCCTTCTCACCTATAAAAAATTACTCTTATTTAAAGGAAAAGAATGAACATGGTGAACTTCTGTACCAACATGTGACAGGAACTTGGGTCTTAGTCCTGTTTTCAAAAGGGGATTGTTACACAAACAAGATCTCATTTTCTTATGGTATTCTTCTGAATCATCAGGATTACCAGTTTGAAAATAAAATTCTCTGCTGCTTATCATTGGAGTCCTGTTCTGTGATCTTATTTTTATTGGTCCTCAAGAGCCCTTCAGTTTACTGTGAACATATAACAGAAGCTTAGTTGCATTTAATTTTGGAAAGTTACTGCTTTGGTATTGTCAGGTTAAAAAGTTCATCAACAATAAGGTTAACACACTTCATGCTCTAAAGCCTATGTGTGAGAATTCTTCTACCTTTGAATGGCAATAAAAGAACTGCCGTCAGTTAAACATCATGAGTATTTTTTGCAGGAATGTTCTGCAATATGCCATTTGGTTAAGAAAACATTCTTCAAAGATTTTTTTTTTTTTTTTAGCTAACCTGTTGTCTTTAATGTCATTAGAACTTCCTTTATCTCTCTAACTAAGCTTTTCCAACCCTGCCCTCCCCTAAGAGTAAGTGAATTCCATTAAAAACCACATTTTCTACAATTGGATAAATATTGTAGATAGCAAAAAAAGTCATGGTCTTACTACATTATGTCCAGCTTCTTAACAAACTTTCTAATGGTCTCATGCATGAGTTTTGAATAAAAATGTTTTTCCTTCATGTCATCTTCTCCATACCTAAGGGAGTTCTAAATGTTTAGGCTAGACCATTGTGATGCGTTTTCTTTGGCTTTAATTCATATGAAAACATCTCTATCTTAAAAGCAGACTGGCCTCTTCACAAGTGTTGATGAGTATAAGGAAGAAATGAAGTCTTTGCAACAAAGAACAATAAACGGTGTCCCTAGCAGAAAGCTATGCCTCACAATTTGACAAATCATGGTTTAGTAGAATGAAAAGACAAAAAACATTGTTAGGAAAATAGGGAAAAATGTGACCCTCTTATTTCTGTAATATATGAACTGTCTTATCTAACCCGTACTGAAGTCAATTGCACTGGGCATAGTATAAATACTTCCTGTATAAATGTGAATCTTTAATAGCTGTTTTCTGGTTAATGCCTTTACTACCAGTCATCTGCATCTCTGCAGCACTGTTGATGCCACTTAACACTCAGCTGAAGGCAGAGTTGGATCATATCTGAAATTTTTTTTTGTTAGGGAGCTGTGCACTCAGGTGCAGGAGGAGGAACAAGCAGTGAAAGCTAGTGGTACTTTTAGCTGGCACTGGCACTCAAGGGGTCGTAATTCAAACTGGAACCCCACTGCATAGTACCTGTATAATATGACATGATGTAAGTGCTTAAAAGGCATCTTGTCACAATGAGAAATTAGTTCCACATGATGATGAAATTAGGAGAAGAACGAGTAAGTTAAAGCATTTTTTTAGTACCTTCTTGAACCTTACTCTGATATTTCTCATAGCGTCAATAGGTCAAGGTACACTTTACTTGGACCAGAATGCATGGTGCTTAGTATGAGAGTCACAGGAAAAATGAAAATGATCAATGAAGGAGGATCATAAATACCCACATCTTACTATCTAAAATGTAATTTAACCATCAGTTTTCTTAATCAGATAAAATAATACACTGACAAAAAGTGACTGTCAGGAAATCTGAATTTTTCTTTCCATAACGTAGTCTTGATGCAAGAGAAGTTACATGCCACATTGTTTGCCTCTTGCTTCTTTCATGCATAATGCATGTTTTGAAATAGATCTCTTGAAAATATATATCCACAAAGAGCACAGAATATTTCAAAGACCATTTTCCCTGGGTTTCCTTGTTGGGGTGTTTTTTTCCTTTGAGACGTATTTCTTTCAAATCTGACCTCCTGGGATGTCTTTTTTACTGGTTTCTACTATGGTGAAATGCTGAAAAGGAACTGCAGTCTCTGCAGTTGAAGGACTTTGTGTACTTCTAGCTTTTTTTGAAGCACACAGGGTCTTCAGGAGAATACCCATCAAGAAAGGATGAGGAATTTATTTTGATGTTGTGCTTTTATTTTGGTTGTTGATTGCCATCTGCAGCTAACTCTGCAGAAGAGAGTCCCAGATTCTCAAAATGAAAGTGTTTGTGTGGCATAGATCATGTGTCACTCCCTGATGTTGTAGGTCATTGTGAAGCCCTGCCTGGGGACCCCTATGCTACTAATGACTCTGTCTTAATTACAGTCGTAAGGTTTGTTGAGGTTTGTTGTTCAAGGTTCTGGTTTTGTTGAAGTAGTAATTTTGCAAGGAGACCAGAGGTGGAATACATGGTAAAAGGTAAAAAGACACCTTTCCTTCAGAAGACTTCTTTTACCAAGCACTTCCTCCAGCATGTGAAAAAGCCTGTCAGTTGCAAGGTGTGATACTTAAAAAAAGACCAGTCAATATTCACAGTCTGTACTATATGGTTTCTGAGACTCTGAACCAGTGGGAGAAGAGGAAAATGAAATTTTGTCTGGACTGAATGAGTCCAAAATATAAAATTATCTGTATTTAGCCATGTTGATCTCACCTACTGGACCACAGTACAGTTGAAAGTATCTAAGTGTTTACTGTGTAAACTCTTTCTTTAAGGCATTTATAAGTTTCATTAAAAAATGAGGTTATACCTAATGTGCAAAATCTTGACAGAATCTCAGATTTAACAAATTCAAATAAATGTAATAAATCCAGCTTCAGAGAGCCCTATTTAAAAAAAAAAAATCATTTCAGATGACCTACATAGTTGCTTATAAACTAATTCATCATCTTAAAATGTAGATAGCAGCTTTTTGATGCCTAATTAAAATAACCAGACTAAACTACTTGATCACATGAACTTTTCCTGACAACATCGACACCCTTGCACAGAAGAAGGCTGTATGTGGAGCTACTGTATCATTTAAATTAATACGTTAAGAGCGTTTTGAAACCTGGATGGTAAAGCTGTGCTCTCTCTCTGGAGTCAGCTTTGACGCTCTGTTTCTGTGCTCACCGAAGATGTGACATTGAATCACCAGCTCAGTGCGGCCAGCTTTCTGCGTGTTTCGCAGGGCTGTAGAAGCCCTGCTGTGTACTGCAGAGTTTGAAGCCCCAAAAAGGGTTGTATCACTTCCACAAATAATTAGTTATAAGGGGTTTTTTTATCAAGACAGTTAAAGGACAGTGAAGTACCGTGAGGCTTTCATTATCACATCAGGACCTGATCCAGACTCCATTAACTGCAATAGCATTTGGTTTAGTTTTAACTAGACTAATGTAAATAACAAAGGAAATGATTATGAGTTTCCCTGAGATCACCCAAGCGGTGGAGAAGAGCAAGCAATTAGAGGCTTTTTTTCTGTAGGTAAGGAAAAAAAGAAATACTATTCTGTTTCTTTTTCAGCTAACACTGTCAGATTTTCTGTATGATTTTTGAGGGACTTAAATGCACATACAACCCCAATTATATTTTAATTATATAGATGTATTGAATGAAAAATTCATTACATGTGTTCATTTACATGGGAAGATCAGTATTGTCATTTATTCTCATGAGTATAGTACTGAATACAGCCAAGACAGATAAGAAACTAGTGAATGTATGTTATTTCCTTTAATACTTGACTGTTTTTAACCTTTATATCATAAATGAACTTACATGGAACAGAATGCCATGAACCTTGAAAGTGAATAGAACTATCAAAGGCTATACATTTACTTTTATTTGTTTGTTTGTTTGTTTAACGTTTAGTGCTACTTCATACATATTTGTTTGATTGTAATAGTCTAGATTTTTGAATTTCATTGACAAGTCAGAATGTCACAGACCACATGATAGCTTTGGGTAGATAGTAAATAGTTATCTTTGAAAAGAAATAGTTTGGTGGTGTTCTACCACAGGATTAGTCTTCAGTAAAACATTTGTCTTAAGCAGTATGACAAAGAACAAAATCACTTCGCTGCACGACAGAAGAGCTTTTCTAAGAGAGAGACACCAGCGTCAGAAGTTAATAAATCTGTGGATGTTTTGGCTTGCTCCTAAGACTGGTGATTCTTTTAAATGCGTATTGATATAATAAGCTACCAAAAAATCTTAATTCAGCAAGATAACATAGGGTCTTCCGTTACACAAACAGTATGTTTGCAACTCTCGTTTGTTCCTATCAGAAGCATTTGCTTCCTTTATCCAAAGGCTTGAATTTATTTTTGATAAAACCTCCAGTCCATGTGTGTGTCCTGTAAACTACCTGATGTGGTTTACTTGTACATATGGTTTTTTATAGATTATTTGTCACCACAGAAATAAATTCTGTTTCTTCCAGGGTACGCATTTCTAAACAACTGGGTTTACTAGTCATTCAAATGAGACTGTACATTTGGACCTTTTGTGATGAAAGATGTTATACTGATTGACATGAAATTTTAAAAAGCCTTTTGAAAAGCTCCTTTACGCTTTTACTTGGAAAATAAATACTTTACATATAACGAACTTCCTATTTTTTGTATATGTTTTCAAAGGCAGTCCTTGAGGGTTCTTTTCTTTATCAGACCACAATCAGCTAAATAGCAGAATTCGTAGCTACTTCTTTTCAAAAGTAGTAGGAAAAAGGTTATCACAAGAAAAATTTTTAGCGTGAAGAAGTCTCTTTTCTAAATGATATCTGAATATGTGTATATGTACTGCTTATATGTTTTTCTCTCTGGTGTTGACCATGCTTTTACTGTAGAAGATCTTTAGTTTTTAGGGAAAATACTTCAGAGCATCATAAGGTATGCAGTCTCTGGTTTTTAGTCAAGCAAAAAAGAGAATTTAAGGAGGATTTTCTTCATCATTCATACTGCTGCAGCAATTTCCCTCTTAAAAACATGAATAGTGTATGTTTCTCTGATGATTCATCCTCCTTGAGTAAGGAAGCAAGCAAACTATTTTTAGGACATGGTATCCTTCACTTTCTATCCATCTGACTTTAATATGGAGAAAAGCCAGCAACTGGGGAAGAAAGGCACACCTATAAAAAAGCAAACTCATTTGAACTCTATTGCGTAATTGAAAGTGTCAGGACTTCTGTATCTCCTTCTCGGAAGGTAATTTTTATGCAAGTCAGAAGGAGGACCGTTTATTTCTATCCCTAAATCTGTAAGGAGGAGCATATCTGCTACCCTTGAACAGTTTCAAGGTATCACACGTGTATATCAAAATGGGAAAAAAAGTCTGGAAGCACAATGCTAATTCAAAACCTATAGCATTATTTTTGCAGCATTGTCAGTCCCTTTGTGCAGTGCGTAGTGTTAGCTAGATACTTGATGATTCAGTACTCTATGACTTGGAGAATTCTGTGGGGATTTTTTTCTCTCTAGTTTCATTATATAAATTGAGCACACCAAAATTATCTCCTAAAGAATATTGAAAATGTCAGCTATTTATGTTAAAAAAAAAAAAAGAAAAAAGAAAAAAAGTAAACACCAGATAGCTTGTTTGGTTTTATTTATTTTTAAGGCATTTCAAATCATTCATTTTTGGTTTATATTATCTCAGAGTCTTGCTTTCACTATTTCTTTTTGAACTGCCAGCAGCATTTGTTCTTTATGCATACATTGAAGTAAACTGATCTTTTATGCTACTACAGATCAATCTTCTTCTTCCTGTGCACTGTATGTTTATATGTTTTTTCTGCTGTATAATTTTTTAGCAACAACTCATAAAAATTTTAATACAATTTGCTGAGAGACACATCTGACACTTTTATACTACATTGTTGCAGGCTTATTTCCTGCTCTCCTAGTCCTTTTTCATAAACAAACAAACAAAACCCTTCAGCTTGACAAAAATGTTTGCTCACATAATAAATGTGTTACTGCTCTTTCTTTATCTGTGTTGTTTATTGCTCTAGAGAGGATGAGCATGCCCTTATCCAGCAGTATTGTCAGACACTGGGAGGAGAGTCGCCTGTGAGTCAGCCACAGAGTCCTGCTCAGATACTCAAGTCAGTGGAAAAGGAAGAGCGAGGAGAGTTGGAGCGTATCATTGCTGACCTCGAGGAAGAGCAAAGGTCTCATAATCATCCTACCTGGTGTCTGAAATGTCACTTTGCTGTTTGAGCTGTGGACTTACTATGTATAGTTGTAGAGATGAAAAGAGATGGACCTAGGAGTCATGATTTTAGCAAAAAAAAAAAAAAAAAAATCAAGGCATATGTCATGCTTAGCCTTACTCTGTTAGGTAGAAGAGGATGGGTCTGTGATAAAAAATACCTTAGTTTCATCTCTACTTTATTATGTATTTTTTTCCCCCATAAACTGCAAGTCAAGACATTGTCTTTGTATGAGCTACTTGTGTTCTGTAGTTGGAGGTGATGATAATGTTTTATCTAAGGAAGTTTTTAATAATTTGATTAAGACATCATTCACCTCTCCTTTTCAATATATCAGGAGTCTGCAGATAGAATATGAGCAACTAAAGGAGCAACATCTTCGGAAAGGAATAAACGCTCTTGCATCACCTCCTGACTCGATTGTGTCACCTCAACATGCTTCTGAAGATGCTGAGCTCATAGCTGAAGCTAAACTCTTGAGGCAACATAAAGGTCGCCTGGAAGCAAGGATGCAAATATTGGAAGATCACAATAAACAACTGGAGTCTCAGCTTCACCGGCTACGACAGCTACTTGAGCAGGTAGATGCACACTGATGTCTTTCCCCCGTGTTGTTTCTATGTAATAGATTTCTTGGTGGCACAAGGCACTGGAATTTTACTGTACGTATTTTCACCACACTAGCTTGGTCTGTTGCACTCAGTCATTTCTAGGATGAAGAGAGATTTTTCTCTACCCTCTATTGTAAGTCATGGTGAAAGTCAAATGAGCCGAAAATGATTACAAGTGCTAGAGTGGTCACGATAATTTAAGAAACATTGAGAATAACACAAACAAGTGCAATGGTTTTTCATGAATTAAAAGGCAGGGGGAAGAAAATATATACCCTACACCAAGTAGTAGTGCCAATCACAACCTGTATTTTACCTTCAGTTTTCCAATCTTTCCTTAAACAATTTGTTTATTTGTTGTTACGGTTAGTCACCAAAACCTTTCTTAGCATGCCAACAACAGATGGCCAAAGATATGTCTAATATGCAAAGGAGCAATTTATTCCGTTAAAAGTCCAGTTCTTCTTGAGAAGCATATTTACACCAATAAGCTACAGCAAAATGGTCTAAGCATAAGTAAATGCTGAAGGCAAGAGCCTTTTAGCAAATATAAGTAGCCAGAGATTTTAGGGTTTCTTTGCTGGGGGAAGAAATGTTGATTGGTTTTGAAGTCAGTATATGCACATCTAGATTATAAAAATAACAGCAGCAACATCTACAAGGTGTTGTTAGAGGTGTTGGTTTGTACTATATCACGTGTGGAACCTTGAATTATGAAGACAAATCTGTATGAATGTTTTCTCTGAACTGGTCATTACACTTGAGTCAGAGTACAGTAAGCCAAATAATTCCTGCCTTCCACGAGTCAGGTGACTGGCTGTATGTAGTAGAGGATTTAAATAAGCCAAGAAACAGACCACATAAACCAGGTATCAGAATGGCATAAGCTCCTGCTGTAGATGATACATTACAGTGATAAAGACATTTTTGGGGTTTTTGTTTCACTGACTGACTCTTGTCATTTTTCTAGACATTTTTGGCTGAATAGCGTTAAGATGCATCTGTTCCAATGGCTTCCTTGCCCCTCCAGCAGAGTATTTTTTTTGTTGTTGTTACTGTCATTCTAGCATCTTTAATCAGTATTTGAGTAGCTTAAGTATTTAACAGGGAAGATAACAACTGATGGAACAGTTAACAATCATTCATGAAGTAAATATCTTGAGAACTGTGGCCCCTACTAGCTGTTTTGGAGAAGGGTTTAAAATCTGCAAAGAAACAGCTGTAGGTGAGGAACACAAAAGTTCTGCCAAACTCAGTCACTTGCAGCTTAGTGTTTGAAGCAGGAACATGTTCACCCTTTAAAACTTTCTTTTTTTTCCTCATGCAGCTGTGAACAATCTTATATTTTTGTAATCTTTTCAGTATCCTTACAACATTCTTAGTAACATGGTTAGGGTATACATGTGTGTTGGGATAAAGTGGGTGGGTGGAGGGACAGTACTTTCTTCTTACGAGTTCTGCCTTTGCATTCTGCAGCTTGTGGTTTCTGATAGGGCAAGGTAGAACAGAGTTGACCTTTTTCAATATTTCTAATCATTTACACCTCATTTACTGTATACTGTTGCTCTTTTGCTTCTTGTCCAAAATCTCCTGCCTCTGTGGAAGTCATGCTGTGCTTCTGATTGTTCCAAGTGCCATTCTCGAAGCTGGTTTCCCTTCTGTCTTTTAATGGAGGGGCTGGTACAAAGTCAAGTATATGAGAAGGTCTGCGTTACTGCTTTTATAATAAATCTGTGACTTTTCAATATGCCTTTGTAAATGTATCCTTACTTTATTTAACAGGGTGTTTTTGACCTGCCACTACGCGAATTTTCTTGCAACCTGTCTCCAAGGATGTTGAAGCTAATCCCCTGAAGGGGATTCAGAAATTATAATAATTAAATTTTTTAGTGTATGTTCTCTGGAACTTCTTTATTTTGACATTAATACCGTTATGAAACAGCACTGAATCCTAGTGCTGCCCCCTTAACTTTCTGAAAAAATGACCACTTTTCAGCATGTTTGATTTTCTGTAACCTAAGCCATTCACAGTTTATGAAAGTCTTTACCTTTTTCACTGCTTAGGGAAGGACTTTATCAGAAGCCAGTTGAGGATCTAGGGATATTTATTTGTTTCTTCTGCTTTTATTGGCTGTTCCAATTTGTTTTTTGTTTTGTTAGTTAATATACGGAATAACTTTTCTCACTATGAGACAGATGATTTGCATGGAAGATTCTTATAAGTCTAAATCTCAAAATATATAACAACTCTATAATTCCTGTAATAATAAATAGTGATATTAAAGGACACAACTGTCTTACAGCAATTTCTTTGCATTGTCTGGCATTTCATGCTATCTCTGTTTGTCTCTTTTGTCAACAGCAAATATCTCAATTTCTCTTCTCTACTCAGCCTCCTGACTGTTGTTTAGGTTAATGACTTGACACTGAATCTAAAATACTATGATTTTTTTTTTTTCTAAAAGATATGGGATGAGTCTGTCTACACACAGATATAGATAGATAGATATATATATATTTGGGTAGAAAATTAGTGAAGCTTAGAAACTTTCCTGTATTAACTGTTTAATCTAGATGAGTGCATTCTAAGATATTCTTTAGGGAGCACCTTTAGCAGAAATACGCATGCGTCCTCACTGCACGTTTGCCTCTTCAGGTCACAATTCTGAGATTACTATACTATTTTTATTTTAGCAAGCCCAGAGGATTGGTAGATGTCACACGATGTTGTCATTTTTGTCTGTCTGATTGATTATAGTGCCAAAGAGGAAGGTGAAACAGAACTGGTGTGTGACAGCTTTGATGCTAACATGTTAATCATACAGAGAAAAAAATAAAGAATTCTTTTTCACTTTTATTTCTTCAGCCCTTTCAGATACTGCATGTGCAAAGTAGAAGAGCTATTATGAAGGGCGTTTAAAGTCTATTTGGATTTTTCTCTGCTTGTCTGAGCTGCTGAATAGAGGTATCATATTGAATTTGATATTGACATTAATGGGAGCTAAAAATCATCTTTCAATGGCTATATGACTCCAAGTAAATAGGGACTGCTGCAGCTCCCTCTCCAACTGAAAGCAGAGGAGCTTTATCAAAAGAGTAGAGGAGACTTTCTTTGGTGGCTGGAAGAATCAACCTGGAACAAGAAGAAACATCTGTAATGGATGTGTAAAGGGGACTGGCTTTTTGGAAGTTTCCTGTGATTCAGAGGGTGGGTGGGGCACTTTTTAGCTGGATTTTTACCAAAAGCAACAGAAGTCAAGGGAAAAGTTGGTATATCTTATCTATCTATTGAGCCATGGAACAATTCAGGCTCTTCTTTGGAAAAGACATCAGCAGGAGGCACAGAGAAATAAGGCACTGCAGATCAAAATTGGTTAAAATAAATATCTCCATATTTGAAATGCTTTAATAACTGCTGTAATAAAGAAAAAACCCTCAATTTCAGTGTTTTCTGGAGAAGAACTTATCTGTTCCTTTGTATCTTTATATGATTTTGGATAAAAAGACATTTGAAAACTCCCAGAAGCTGGAGTTGGAAACTTCCCCCTCGTCCCTATAGAGGTGTGCTCAGTCTCTCTGCTTTTATTTATTCAGGAAGAAGAAGCAGGTGTACAGTAACATCCAGGGCTATTTTGTTATGTTTTCTGGCTTAAGGGTTGTCTGCTAGGTTGTTTTGAATAAGAAGGCATGAACTCCATGGTAACCTGAAGTGGGCTGATGATGGAAGGGATTAGATTTTGTAGGTGGTATGCAACTAGAGTCAAGCAGAACATGATTATCTACAGATTTTTTTCTCAGGTTCTCTCACAGTAAAACTGTTAAATCCTGTAAATACCTGCAGTTATATTCTGAACTGTTTTGCATTTAACATTTTTCAGTATCTGATTATTATTTTAAGATACTTATGCCACTACCAGAACCCTTTCCTTTTTGCCCCCAACATTACTCTTCATCTCCTTAATTGTATTGTCCTGATTTTGGAAGAAGAAGGTTTTGGTTTGTTTTGGCTTTTCTTGTTATTGCAGTCACTGAAACTATGTAGGATAACACTTATCAGTATATTTAAATGAAAGTGAAGTCATCAGACATTTTCCTCTGATTAGAAGGGGATTGGTTTGTTTTAAATCCAACTGTAATATTTCATTCTGACTCCTGCAGCAATATATAGTACATCAATATAAAGTATTCCAAGTATGTTTTGTTTGCTCTGTTTATCCACTGTTAGAGTCCTCGTTCTCTCCAGGGTTTTGTTGTTTGTGGGTTTTTTTTGTCATTTGCAGTACTGAGTAGTACTCCTAAGTGGTACTAAATGACCTTCACTACTAACTCACCTTTTAAGTTTCTAGGCACCTCCTTTCTGTCCTAATTAATCTTGACTTTGCAGTGCCTTGCTATCCTTAATTTAGCCTATGTGTTGCTGTACTGCAGTTTTGTATCAAGTCCAGCACTGATCTTCCTTCCTCAGTCATCTCTGCGCCATTTGCCCACAGTTATTGCTTGAAGAGGGACAGAGGTCCAATCCAGGTGCAAGTTTGCATTTTGGGTGATTCCAATTCTCTCTGTCCATCTGTTTGTGGGGTGGGCAAGCAGCCACTCTGCTGCTGGACTTAGCCTAGTTGTTCTGTGATGAAGTAACTCTTAACCCTGGGAGAGTTCATCTCTTTACCATCATAGCTCTAAAATCTTCTTAAACAGGGGTTCCTGGCTATAAAAAATTTCCTGGAGTTAGTTAACTCAAGCTTGGCCTATTTAAAATCACCACACTCATTTTACCTAGACCCTGTAGCTGGGTTGAAGTCTGATACTGAATAGCAAATTACTTAGCTACTTGATAGGCATTCACTGTCCATAGGAGTGTCTGGATGCTAAAATCCTTGGCTGGCTTGAAAACATATCCATTTTTCTTTGTCTTCTAAATGCAGAACAATATTTCTTGATTTATTCTTTTAGTCAAAGCCGGAAGTTGATATTGTCATGCTGAAACAGAGCTGAGATTTGGAGGAGAAAAAAGATTTGCTGAGTACTCAAGGGAACATTTCCTTCTATTTCTCACCACTGTGCATAGAAGAAAAAATATCTTTCATTGTTCAACAATCTTCAGTTTTGTTAAAGATTTTTTTGGGGTTTTTTTGCACTGGAAGTTGTCTCAAACAATCAAATGTTGCACTTAAGTCTGTGAGCTGCAAAGGAGTAAACTTGTACACAAATTAACTGCCGTTCTGTATATTACCTCTTTGCATCGAATCTCATATCTATTCTAGGTACTTTTTCAGTCTCAGTTCCAAAAAGATCTTGAAAATAATGATTTTTTTTCCCCATTATTAATTCTGTATCTGCTTTTGACAGACTTACTTAAATAATCTGCTCTTTAAGCTGTTTGGAAGTGATTTGATTATTTGCAATCAGAAAGATAAATGATAGGGGCAACCATTTCAGCTAAGATTATGACTGAACAGTTGTTTCTAAGCATGATTGTAAAGCTTCTTAGGAGACCTTAACTGAATATCCTCTGTGTGTATATGAGTACATATATCCATACATACATATACAGCCACAATAACAACATTGTGTAGTGTTTCTGTGTAGCTGGACTGAGAGCCTCAGCAGACTGTTTGGGTTGTACATAATGTTGTGTTTCTGTGGTGTGTGCTTACAAGAAAACATTGTTTTTAACAAGGCCATCAACTGGAGTCTCATAAGAATTACACTTAAGTCTACGTTTTCTTTTAACAAGTTGTTGGTTTGGTTTTTTTTTCCTCCCCCTAACAGTTGTATGGAACTAAGCCAACTTTCAATAGTTTGAAGAGCAAACAAGAAGGAACACATAAAAAAGTAAAAGAGCGAGATGACTGCATACAGGCCCACCATTAAATTCTGTACATGCAATTTATCTAAATTTGGGTATTATTGTCTTTGATGTAGCCTGAGTCAGACCCCCGGGTTAATGGCACCTCCCCCTGCGCTTCACCCCAGCACTCTGCCCTCGTCTACTCGCTTGAGCAAGAGACAAGCTCACAGTTTCTTCAGACAGGTAAGTGTTTTGATCAGAAAATGCTCTGCATGGGTCTACAGGTGACTACTGCATAGGTTTGTTGGCATCTTTCTGATAAGATTTATAAATAAAAAGGAACTGATCTTTGTGATGCTACTAGGAGCAAGCTTACTGCAGCTGGAGCTGTTGCTTCCCCACACTTGCAAACAGCTGCAGTATCACAGGAATCCATGTGACTCTGAATTGTGGATTTCTGTCAATAGACTCCTTGGTCCCATCCATTTTGAGCAAGTGAGTTTACTGGGCAAATCCATCCTCACTGAAGGGGGAATGAGCATTCATAGGACTGAGATGGCCAACAGCTGTTTGTCCTCCAGTACACACATGCACTCAAGTAATCTGTCAGATACAGCAACAAATGTCCAAAACATGTCATCGAAGCTTCCTGATGGCTGCTTTAAAAATTCTTGTGGATCCTTTGCTTATCCTGGTATTTTGATGGCCCAACCCTTCAAAGACTTCACATCTTTTTGAATTATTAAGTGTACAGCCTCTGCACATGAGGGGATTTCTCTCTTGAAAGATTATTTTAAATTCTCCGATAGCAGAACTCATTAATTCCACTGGGAATTAGCAGAAATAACTACAGATCATTGAATGTTTAAAATCAAGGGAAAAAAGAAAAGATTTTTCTCATATTATCTGAAGTGCAATTTCCTCCCTCGTTTTGTTTTCAAGCCTTTGTGTTATAGATTTAAAAAATATTTTCTGTGGAAAACAGGAATAATATTCTGTTGCATACTGAAAAGTTTTCATTGAGTATTGACAGTGGTTTACTTTATCTAGAAAAACATGGAACGTCATCAAGTCTGATTTAATGCAATAATAGATTTATGAGAGATGCTGTCTAATAACACTTCCAGGAACACAGCCAGTTGTATTCCCTAACCACTCCCTTGGCTTAATTTTAAGCAGCATTTAAAAAAAAAAAAAAAAAGCAGGCAAGGAGGATTTTAACACTAGTGAAATTGCTGGTGCATATTGAATAAAGCCCATCTAAAAGATAAATGTCTTTTCAGAAAAAGAATGGTGTGTTCATTCTGGAAGTTAAACGACAAATCATCTGAAAATGCAACAGAATATTAATTGAGCAGCTGCCGAGTATAATTCCCTCATCTTGTAAACCTTTTATTTATTTTAACTGTAAATTCTTATCTACTGCTTCTTGTTGGCAATTTCTTCTAGTTTAAATCTTGGGTGCAATAGTTAAGCTTTAATAAAAGAGACTTGAGCTCTGCTGCAAATCAGTAATGTAACTTTAACCTCCTCTCCCAAGGCTAGCGATTATCAATGATAGTTTCTACACATTAAATTACAAAGGCTTCAGGTAGTGGTTTCCCTTGAAATATAAAGGAGTATTTAACTGGAAGATTGGATGAAGAGGCCTTTCAGAATGTTCTTGTCCTTTTTTTTTCTCCTTTCATTGCTAAATTCATTGCTCTTTTTTATTGTCATATTTGCAGATGACTTGTTAGTTCCACCTCATGATACCAGCACAGATCTAACAGATGTTATGGAGCAAATCAACAGCACATTTCCAGCTTCCTGCTGTAAGTGTAACAACCTATGTGTCTGAGAATAGTATTGAATTTGAGGCATTCTTTTGAAGAGAAAGATTGCTCTTGTGGTATTGACAAGGAAAAAATCTGCGCATTCATAAGATTTCTTGACAAGATATGCATTCTACATAACTCTGTTATTTAAAGTTCCTCAATAGACACTATTTGTGAAGGAAAATAAACAAATATTCTCATTTTTTAAATAGAAATGATTCGCTATAAGAAAAGCCTATAGCTCCATATAGTATTTTCATTTGTGTTCACATAAGGGAAGAGAGACCTAGAATCCCATTTGCTGCTGATGTAAACGCTGTGTAGAACTTAAGTGAACGTAGATGCAGAAATTCTGAACGTTGTTTCTCTAATACAACTTGAAAAAAATGGCCTTAGGTGACAGGAGGGACCGTAGCCCGATCCTGGCTGCCTGAACTCTCTATTGAACTAGTTATTAAAGTAATTGATGAGAGGAAATAACTGTTAACATAGGACGTAACACCTTTCCTTGCTTAAATGCATTAAAAGTTGATATTTTATTTGTGTCCATTAAAGAGAGATCAAAAGGAAAACAAATTAGTTTCATATGCATGGCTTATATCAGCTGGCATATATTTCCACTGATCCTGTTCCTTCCAGAGCATCACTGCACTTTCACAAGAGCAAGGAGCCATCTCTCTGTTCCAGCAGTATTTCATACAGATTGCTGGTTTTGGCAGCACAGCGAAGCGGCAACTTTGTTATTCAAAGTATATTTTTAAAAGTTCATACATATCTTCACCTTCAGCTCTTTTACCTTAGAAAAACAGTAGTGAAAACTTTAATATATTCTTAAACTTCCAGCATTTCTTTCAAATTAAATGTAATAATGATAGTCAGCTTTGAAAGGCACAAGTGAGAGGGAGATGTTTCTGCTCAGTCCTTTCGGAAGCATCGAGACTGAACTCTGTTCTATTTCGTAGTGAACCCTGTTAAATAGCCCTTTTATCTCTTGTACATACATTGCTTGCCTGTGAAGAACTGCATCACAGAAAATGCACTTTGCACATTTTGAGAAAGCAAATTAAGGTTTTGTTTCAGCTGTCTCTTGAGATTTTCAGTGAGTTCAATAGTTCAGAACCCACCACTTTGCAAATTAAGGATTTTATTCTAAGGAGCGTCTCTTCTTGAAGTCAATAGCTAGTGGAACTACTCAGCAAAACTCACGGGTGTGTATGTGTACAAATCATTAAAAAATGTAAGTCAAGTATCAATTCTTGTTTTTGCAAATTCATGTCTTGCATGCATAAGGAGTATAGCAGCTACTGGACATTTGGCCCAAATGAATTTACAG